GGGGCCGGGGGTGGGAGGGGTGGGAACCATGACCAGCTAAGGTTGCCTTTGCTGCCTCACTTGGGGAATCTCACGTGGATGAGGCCTCCTGGCCTCTCCCCACTGGCCCAACCGACTACCTTTACTGCTGTGAGACCATCAGAAGGTGGCCCCACCGCTCTAAGCTCCATGTCTTCCTTTATAAAATGGGACTTAGAGTCAAGTTGGCCCCAGTCACTTAGAAGAACGGTGCTGAAGGTGCTCAGTTGGAGGGGCCTGTCTCAGCAGCTTAAAACACGCTCCTCGCTGGCCCTCTCCTGACCTCCAGCTTCACTGTAGCAAGAGCCCTCTGGAGGAAAAGGGACTTCTCTAGTTTGTCCCAGACATTTGTTTTTTATTTTTTAAGTAAGAAAAGATTTGTGGTGATGATTTCAGACACATCTTTTTCTAAAGGCAGGAAACCCAGCAGACCTTTCCCTCCTTTCTCCTCTGTCCCTCCCCGCCCTACTGGCTGCCAGCCTGGGCCAGAGCCCTGATGGTCTGCTTCTCTGCCCACCACAGACTGTGGCATGAACGTGCATCACAAGTGCCAGACGAAAGTAGCCAACCTCTGTGGCATCAACCAGAAGCTCTTGGCCGAGGCCTTGAATCAAGTTAGCCAGGTGGGCAGGCACTGTGGGGAGCTTGGACAGAGGGTCTTGGGGTTGGGGACCAGTCCAGGCTCATGCTCACTCTTGGGGGGTGAACTGCAGTGAGGGGCATTTACACCTAAGACCCCACTTCTGAAAAATCCATTTCAAGGTCTGGTCGTTAGAAAGTGGTGGGCTTGTTCTCCTAAGATATTAGTTATTCAAGCAGTGCTCTGAGGGTGAACCTGGAGGACTGCAAGTTTGGAACTCTTGGAACTAAAGCCTTTATATGTTTATATTTTGTGTGTGTGTGTTTGGGTGTGTGGGTGAAGCTTGAAGGATGTCACAAAACTTTAAAATTGTAGAATCTATCACAAGTGAAGGAAAACAACAACAACAACAAAAAACAAGTCTAGGTTCTATTAAGTGGTTGGGTGGGTAGGATTCAGTTTCCAAAACTTTTGTTTGTAACCAGTGCCTTTCCGAGGCATCTCTGTGCTAGAAGTGTGTGTAAGTGTGTCTCTGTGTGTACTCTCTTGCACATGTGTACATGCACATGCACCACCTAGGCATCCTGGGCTCTGCTCCTCGCTGTCCCCCATTGGTATTGAGGGTGGAGTTATGGATGGTTGGGGTCCTCCCTCTGGGTTGGGAGTTCTGACCATGCTATGACCTCTGGGTGCCTTCCCCACAACCCCCACCCCCTCCTCCAGAGATCTTTAAAGAAGGAACCAGAGACCCAAGAAACTGTTGGGATCTACCAGAATTTTGAGAAAAAGCCAGGAATCTCTGGAGATGATGTCGCAGGTAAAGCTATGCCCATGCCTTCCAAGAAAGCCCCTCCCCTCCCCCGCCAGCATGGGACCCTGTCTCCCCGCACAGTCAAACGCGCCTGTAAAGGAGGCCGCTGCGTTGGGAGGGATCCAGCAGGGCAGGGCCACCCTCTGGGCCTCCAGGCAGAGACCAGAGTCGAAAGCGGCTATGTCTCAGCAGAAACTGGGACCTACGGCAAGATCTGGGAGAGCAGCACCAGGTGCAGCATTGACAACTTCACCTTCATCAAGGTCCTGGGCAAAGGCAGCTTCGGGAAGGTGAGAGCCCCGTGGCCCCGGGGCAGGCAGCCTGAGCCGCCTGAGCCCACGATCCCGGGGACGCCTGCTTCCCACCCTCTCTGTCTGCTTCCCGGTGGGGTGAGGCCATGCACCCTGGACTTGGTTCTGGCCCTCCCCTGCTCAGCACCCCTGTTACATCCATCAGGTGCTGCTCGCAGAGCTGAAGGGCAAAAAGGAATTCTTCGCCATCAAGGCTCTCAAGAAAGACGTGGTCTTGATCGATGACGACGTGGAGTGCACCATGGTGGAGAAGCGGGTGCTGGCACTCGCCGGGGATCATCCATTTCTCACCCACCTCTTCTGCACCTTCCAGACCAAGGTGCCTGGCCCATCCTCTGTCAGTGCCCCTGGCCCACAGCCCTCCTCAGTTGCTCAGCTCAGGGCCGCATCTCCCATTGAGACTCGCCAGAACAGGGCCCCTTCTTCCTCAGATCACCTAAGGCAGAGCTGAGTTCCCCTATCCTCAGACGTCTCCCGGCAGGGCCATTCCTCCCCCCGCAGGTCGCCCAGGGCAGAGTTGTTCCCTGCTTCCTGTTAGGGCCTGCCCCTGGTGATCCTGTCAGGGTGCCTGCCTTTGCTTTCTGTCCCTCTGCTCACCATCCTCCCGCCNTGCCCGACACAAGATGTACTTGATGAGGCCCAGGTTGTCTGTGAAGTTATGTGCAGCATTTCTTGTCCCTGGGGGGACAGAAGAAGACCTAGGGAGAAGCAGGGGCTGCTCACAGAAATCTCAGGACACTGTATGTGTGTGTGTGTGTTGTCTCATCCAGGTTTTATGCGGCTGAGATAGTCTGTGGACTACAGTTTCTGCACCAGAAAGGGATCATTTACAGGTGCGGGGATCGGGAGATGGGGGTTGTTTAGGAGGGGAGGCCCCAACCCCATCATATCCTCTGAAGTGCTCTGAATGGGGCCCGGTCCAGCTGTGGCCCCATCTCTGCATGGAATTGGTCTTTTAGTTGGGTATTTGCCTAAACCACCTACTCCATTGCTAGAATTCCTTGTGGCCCCTTAGCTGAGGCTGGCACAGCTCCAGGGACTGGGAACTCCCCAAGCATACTCAGTGCCAGGCAAGGAGCGCAGCACTGACTGGTATGGTGTCTCCCTTGCTATGGAGTCTCCCTCTAAAGCCCCATCCGAGCACTCTGAACTTCCACCCATAGGGACTGGTTTCATAAATTCTCACCCAACAAATGACAGTCCTATCCTGCCGTTCATATATATCTATGCCAAAGGATGAGGCCGGACTCTGCTGTTGTGGGATGATGCCATGGGATGTCATCAAGTGGAAAACCAATCCATGGGACACTGTGTGCTGAGTACTAGGGTCCAGGCTTTAAAAAGTGGTGTGAGATGCACATTATAACATGCAGTCCATGCCTAGACTCACTCTAGGGAAGTAGGATGGTGTGTGTCGAACACACAGTAATCAGCTTGCAGGAAGCACTTGTATTTAGCACTTCTTTGCCCTCCTCTTCCTCATTCCCCCATCCCTGTGGGAGAATGCTAGACTAACAGTGGGGACATGGGAGGGAGCTGCCTGGAGAAGGGGAGTGGGCCCTAACGGCTCGTCCTCCTGCCCTTTCCCCTCAGGGACCTCAAGCTGGACAATGTGTTGCTGGACCACACCGGCCACATCAAGATTGCCGACTTCGGCATGTGCAAGGAGAACATGTCCGGGGACAAACAGGCCAGCACCTTCTGCGGCACCCCTGACTACATCGCCCCCGAGGTGAGCGGCACCCTCCCAGCCCCGGCCAACACCTTGCCTTCACAGGGCGGGCGTGACTGGTGATGTCTGAGCCGCAACTGGGAGGCTGAGGAGATCCGGCTGGGGCTTGTATTCCGGGGCCCCCTCAGCTCTGATACTTCGTCTGCTCCAGATCCTGCAGGGCCTGAAATACTCGTTCTCCGTGGACTGGTGGTCCTTCGGAGTCCTTCTGTATGAGATGCTTATTGGTCAGTCCCCCTTCCATGGTGATGATGAGGACGAACTCTTCGAGTCCATCCGGGTTGACTCACCGTACTATCCTCGCTGGATCACCAGGGAGTCCAAGGACATCCTGGAGAAGGTGGGAGGCCCTGGGCGGGACTGGCCGGGGTGGGGGCTGGCAGATACCAGGTCTTGGGAGTGCCAGAAGCCCCCTGTCTCAGGGATGGTGGCCTCGGTGATGCTCTGGTCCTCACCCACCCGGGGGAGTCACCCTCCTGCTGCGATCCCAGGACCTCCTGTCTGGGTTCCCTGCGCTGAGTCAGTCTGGCATGGAAGTGACAAGCTTGGGGTCAAGAGATAGACGGACCCTAGGCTAAACTCTGAGTCTGTCTCCTTATCTACAAAATGAGGCTAGGAGAGAATCTTTTTCACAGACTTCTGGTGGGGGGGAAACATAAATGTGTGATGCTCAGGCCTGTGCCAGGCAGACGGTAAACACCCAGTAAATGACCACTGCTTTTACTCACAAATCCCACCAGCCGAGAGTCCCAGCAGCCCCCATCCATGCAGACTTGGGAGCAGAGACCAGGGAGGACTCCTCCACCCCAGAGGCTCTGGGGTGTGATGCCGGGCTGGGCCAGACTGGCCCGGGTACCCATGGGCCTGCTTGGGGGTTTTTTGAGGAACCCGTTTCCTGCAGCCCTTGGGTGCTAACCAGGTTCCTTTGCTGGGTTGCAGCTACTTGAACGGGACATAAACAAGAGGCTGGGAGTGACAGGGAACATCAAAATCCACCCCTTCTTCAAGACCATCAACTGGGTTCTGCTGGAGAAACGTGCAGTGGAGCCACCCTTCAAGCCCAAAGTGGTACGTGATCCCACTCCAGTGGGGGCTGCCACTCCACATTGCCCCCTACTGCCCTCCTGGGTGGGCTCTTCCTGCTTTCCTCTTCCTCCCTTCTGCATCATTTACATGCTCTCCGCCTCTCCCTTCTTCGGATGAATCCGCTTTCCCAACCCTTCTGGCAGGCTGAGTCACAGCCTCTACCCCTGTGTTCTCATGGTCTCTCCTCAGTCAGTCAGTTATTCAACAAACATTTGGTAACAGTGGATCCAGCATCCTTTACCATACATTCTCTTGTATTTATTTATTTATGGTTACATAGTCTTTGTTGCGTCACGCAGGCTTTCTCTAGTTGCAGCAATGGGGGGCTGTTCTTTTTTGTGGTGCGTGGCCTTTTCATAGTGGTGGCTTCTCTCTGAGAAGCACAGGCTCCAGGCACACAGACCTCAGTAGTTGTGTGCACAGGCTTAGTTGCTCTGAGGCATTGTGGAATCTTCCCAGACTAGGGATTGAACCCGTGTCCCCTGCCTTGGCAGGTGGATTTTTATCCACTGCACCACCAGGGAAGTCCAACCATACATTCTTTAACACCCACTGTGTGCATGGGAGTATGCTTTGGTAATCAGTTAAGACCTCCCTCCCTCCATCTACTCATCCACCCATTCAATCCATTTTGCCATAAATATTGAAAATGCTGAGTGCCTTCTGAGTGCAGAGCACTGAGCTGGGCTGCATGCACAGCCGAGTGGGAGGCCCAGCCCCAGAACTGGAGGACCCCAGCTCCTCAGAGAGATGAGAGCTTGCCTGCCGGTGATCATTTATGATAAAAGACGTCACAAGGCCACACATGATCAGTTGCCATGAGGAGGATCTGGAGGCAGGAGCCAGGACCCAGAGTTTGGAGTAGGTCTGAGAGGAAATGGGATGTGGGCAGGGCTGAGGAGGCCCAGCCAGGCTGGGGCCAGATGCTTTCCAGGGAAAGCAGGGTTGCTGTACATAACAGCCTAGAATCTAGAGAAGCCGCCAGGAGCAAGCAGGAGAGCAGAGGCAGGCTGGGCTTCTCGGAAGTCGGACACCAAGGCCCCTCTCTGATCACAGCTCTCCCCTCCCTTCCTTTTTCTCTCCTTTCCTTCTCCTCGCTTCTTGAGGACACTGTTCCCACCTAGCAGCCTGTGTAACATGCTACAGTGTTTGTGTCTTAAAACCGCAGAGAACTCCCCCCAACTCCAGGGCCTTCAAACTCGCCGCCTCCTGCACTGGGCACATTACTACCAGGCAAGGCAGGAATATCCCACAGCCTGCGTTTAGTGTCATGCTTTTGATAGAAAGAGGGATGGACTGATTTTAAACAACACCAGGCATATGTGCTAATCAGCAGCAATCTCTCTTGGAGGGAAGAGGTGATGAGCTGGCCAGGGGGTTTCAGCACCAAGAGTGGACAGACCTGCCAGGAAACTGGCCCAAACTGCTCTGCTCTGTCAGTTTTTCAAAGAAGCCAGGAACCTGGATTTTTCTTTTTTTCTTTTTTGGCTGCACCACACAGCACATGGGATCTTACTTTCCCAACCAGGGATTGAACCCATGGTTTTGGGAAGTCCCAAAAACTTGATTTTGATGTCATATTGCCTAATTTAAAAATATTGGCTCAGGAATTTCCTGGCAGTCCAATGGTTAGGACTCTTGAGCTTTCACTGCCTAGGGCCCAGGCTCAATCCCTGGCTAGGGCACTAAGATCCCACAAGCCAAAAAAAAAAAAAAAAAATTGTCTCAAATGCTATTAAAACTAACGGCTAGTCAAAATGGTTGTACCTGCAACTCAGTTTGGCCTGAGGGCCACCAGCTTGAGACCTCTTTCTATCACACTTTCACTGTACCTGAGAAGCAGAGTTGGCAGACTTTTCCTGTGAACAGCCTGATAGAAAATATTGTTGGCTTTGCAGGCCAGATAGTCTCAAAGTGGCCATGGATGTTGCCATAGACACAGCAGCGTATCAGTTAATAGGCATGGTTGTGTACTAATAAAACTTTATTTATGGATGCTGAACCACTGACTTTCATTTAATTTTCACATGTCATGAAATTTTACTCTCCTTTTGTTTTTTTCCCTAAACATTTAAAAATGCAAAATCCAGTCTGAGCTTGTGGGACCTATAGAAACAGGTGGTGGGAGGGGTTTGACCCAGGGCTGTATTGCCTGCTTGGGCAAATGCCCACCTTTCCTCCTCCAGGCCCCCTGCTGGCTTCCCTCAGCCCTTGGGTAACAGCATCCCCCTTCACAGAGGAAGTACATGGGCTCCCTTTTCTGTTCTCAATAAGGATGGCTCTGCCTGGCCTAGCCCAGCAGGGATTCTGGCCCCAGGGGTGGGTCCCTGGAACCTCAGGAACCTACGCCCTTTGAGTCCTGCTTACACACCCCTGCCCTCTGCTTGCAGAAGTCACCCGGAGACTACAGCAACTTTGACCAGGAGTTCCTGAATGAGAAGCCGCGCCTCTCCTACAGCGACAAGAACCTCATCGACTCCATGGACCAAACAGCATTTGCTGGCTTCTCCTTCGTGAACCCCAAATTTGAGAGGCTCCTGGAAAACTGAGGTTCCCGAACGTGTGCCCCAAAAACCCATCCCAGCCTGGGAGCCTGGGTCAGCCAGCACTGCCTGCCGACCCGCAGCGCAGGTGGGGCCCACACTTCATCGGCACCTGCCTGCCCCCCACGATAAGCAACCGTGCAGTTGTCGTGATTTCTGCTGCTGCCCGCCCCCCATGTCCCCCAGAGGGGCCTCAGCTCCTGTCCAGCTGGGCTTTCATGGTACTTCCTCTGTGAATTGTGTGTGAATTTGCTTTTCCTCTGCCCTCAGAGGGAAATTGTAAATCCTGTGTTTCATGACTTGAATGTAGTTATCTATTGAAAAATATATATATTATATATATATTATATATATATATATATGCACATACATATATATATATATAGGCTGTATATATTGCTCAGTAGAGAAGAAATGTGGGGGACTGGTGATATGTTGATCTTTTAAAATATATATATTATATATATATGACACACACCCTCCCGACCTCCTACCCCCTCTCCAGAAGAAAAAGGAGCACAAACAACCACCAGGTGCTTTGATTTGTCTGTCTAAATAAACACCAAGTGGTACCAACCTGGCTGATGGGACACATTTGTCCCAGGAAGCTGGTGGCTGCTGCTCCCACTTCCGGCAGCTGTCTTGGATGCTAAACCTAGCTGTTAACTGCAGATGCAGAACCCCTGGGCTTTCATGCAAATGTGTTTGTATTTATGGGTTTCCTCTGGCTCCAGAGCTGGGGGCCAAAAGCAGAAAACTTTTCTGGGTGGCTGCGGGAGCCCCAGTTGTCTCTTTGGGGTGATGGGACCAGCTGCAGAAAGTCCATCTCAGAAGAATGAGGGGCAAGCGTGAAAGAGCAGGACAGTGCAAGGGCCAGCCAGAAGACATGAGCAAAGGTGGCGAGGCCAGCCTAGACTGGAGAGGAGAAGAGGGGAGAGGAAGGAAATACAGCTCAGACTTCAGGCAGATGTGGATTCAAATCGCAGAGGAGCCAAAAGATGTGGCTTTTCAGATGTCATTTAATCATCCAAAATCTCCGTTTCCTCATCTGTACAATGGGCCTGAGTTATTCAGTGTAACTCCTCAAGTTTGTCCCCACCCTTGCCACAGAGGAGTCTGTGTCTGAGTTCTAGAATCTGTTCCCCAGGAGCCCTGGGGACAGGGAGGGGAGCCAGGTAGGTGAAAAAAGGGAGAAAATGCCGAGTGGCTTGGTTGGGGTCGAGAGCCTTGCCCCAGTGTGCCCTCGTGCAGCCAGGAAACGGGGGGTGGCCGCTGCCCCCGAGCCTGCAGGCCTGTGTCCCCACCACCTCAGTGGTCTGCTCTCGGCTTCCTGTTTCTTCCTGTCTGTCTCTCTTGGGGCATAGGCCTCGGGGAGGGCCCGCCCGCCCTCTAGCCCTTCAGGTCCAGCCCCCGCAGCCCTGGTCCCTGGTGGTAGGTGAGGTGCCCCCACAGCCTGATTGGCCCTGGCAGCCAAGCAGCTGGCTTCCAGCAAGTTCATTTTTCTGAGCTGAGGTACAAGTTTCCACAGCTGGAGAGGAGTCGGATGAGGAGGGGGGCTGGTGCTGGCCAGGGGAGGGGGCTGGGGGGTGTCAAACCTTCCCTGGAGAGAGCAAGCGTCCCCTCCCCTCTCCCCTCACCTGGCATCTTCTCAGGAAACGCTTGAATCCCTGCTGTGCGTCCAGAAGTGGGGCTTTGTCCCCTTGGGCTCACAGTCAGGTCGGGGAGACATCGGGTGACAGGGGCTGTGCTGGGGCATGCTGGGGCTACGAGAGCCCAGAGAAGGAGCCTAGGGACCCCTGCTGCCCAGGCCCCAGACAGCCTTGGTTTGGTCCAGAGTGGGTTTAGAACAGAAATATAGTTGGTGTGTGAATTCAGAGCCTCCCACCATCTTTCTGCAGCTCCAAGGTGGGGCCGTGCACCCAGACCTCATTTCCTCCAGCGTGGGCTGGGGGAATAAGTAGTTTTTCAGCCAGAGGCAGTGGAGGGTGGCAGGAAGAATGGGAGTGTGTGTTTAGTCCACCACCCACACACTGTAACCGCCATGAGTTTCTTCGGTGGGCCTCAGTTCCTCATCTGTAAAATGGCACTATTACTCCCTGCTGCCTCGTGGAGATCCTGGCTCTGAGGGACCCCTTGGAGACTGATGCTGAGTACCCTGTGGTCCTGGGCGAAGCCTAGGAGACAGAAGAGCAAGCTACCGGAGATGCTGCAAAACTGCCTGGAAAGCCGTGCAGCTCCAGACCTGTTCCCAGAGTTGGGTAGGCATCAGGCCTGCCTGGCGGCCCAAGAAATGCCTATAATGGCTGGGCCCAGAGTCACACTTTCACTGGGATCGGGGGCCTAGAAACAGGCAGACAGCCCTCCACTTGTCAAGTAGTTTTGCTGGCAGAGCAGCAAGCTCTGGTCCCACCTCAAATGTGTAGCAGGCCTCACACTCGTGCCGAGCAGACTAACACAGATGCAGGAGGTCCTGGGGGCAGGGGCAGGAGCAGGGCTCTGTCACGTGCCCCTGGTTTCAAACCCTGCAGGTCCCTAGTTGTGTGACCTCAGTATGTGACGGCCTCCTGGAGCTTCAGTCTCTTCTTCTGTAAAGCGGGGATAGAGGCAGACCATGTTTGGCTGCGCTTCACTTTAGTGCACTCTGTGACATCATGTTCTTTACAAACGTAAGGTCTGCGGTAACCGTGCGTGGAGCAAGTCCACCAGTGCTGTTTCTCCAATGGCAGTCGCTCACTTTGTGTTTCTGTGTCACATTTTGGTGATGTTCTGGATATTTCAGATATTTTTAGATAATTATTATATCTGTTGTGGTGATCAGTGATCTCTGATGGTACTATCGTAATTGTTTTGCAGTACCACAAACTGCACCCATATAAGAACTTAACCTGTAATGCTATGTGTGTTCTGACTGCTCCACTGACTGGCTGTTCCCCCATCTCTCTTCCTTTCCTTGGCCTCCCTATTCTCTGAGACACAACAGTATTGTGTTGTTGTTGTTGGTTTTTTTTTTAACATATTTTCTTTTAAAAAAATATTATTTATTTTTGGCTGCGCTGGGTCTTGGTTGCAACACTCAGGATGTTTTTTTGCATTGCACGAGCTCAGTAGCTGTAGCATGCAGGCTTCATTGCCCCAAGGTACGTGGGATCTTAGTTCTCTGACCAGGGATCAAACCCATGTCCTCTGCATCGGATGGCAGATTCTTAACCACTGGACCACCAGGAAAGTCCCAAGACACAACAGTTTTGAAATTAGTCCAATTAACAACCCTTCAGTCACTTCTAAATGTTCAAGTGAAAGGAGAGAGTCACACATTCCTTTAAATCCAAAGCTAGAAGTGATTAAGCTCAGTGAGGAAGGCATGTGGAAAGCTGAGACAGGCTGAAAGTTAGGCCTCTGGCCAGTTAGCCAAGTTGGCAATGGAAAGGAGTTCTTGAAGGAAATTAAAAGTGTTAATCCCGTGACTATACAAATGATAAAGTGAAACAGTCTTACTGCTGATGTGGAGAAAGTGTCAATGGTCTGGAAAGAACATCAAACTAGCCATAGCATTCCTTTAAGCCAAAGCCTGATCTACAGTAAAGTGGAGTTGCTCAGTCGTGTCCGACTCTTTGAGAACCCATGAACTGTAACCTACCAGGCTCCTCTGTCCATGGGATTTTCCAGGCAATAGTACTGGAGTGGGCTGCCATTTCCTTCTCCAGGGGATCTTCCTGACCCTGGGATCCAACCTGGGTCTCCCGCATTGTAGATAGACGCTTTACCATCTGAGTCACCAGGGAAGTCCAATCTAGAGTAAGGCCCTGAAAAAAAAGTGAAAGTGTTAGTTGCTTCCCTTGTGGCTCAGCTGGTAAAGAATCCTCCTGCAATGCAGGAGGCCTGGGTTTGATCCCTGGGTTGGAAAGATCCATCAGAGAAGGGAAAGGCTACCCACTCCAGGATTCTGGTCTGAAGAATTCCATGGAATGTATAGTCCATGCGGTTGCAGAGAGTCAGACGTGACAGCGTCTTTCATAGTCAGTCGCTCAGTCATGTCTGATTCTTTGGGACTCCATAGACTGTAGCCTGCCTGGCTCCTCTGCCCATGGGATTCTCCAGTCTCCTGCATTGCAGGCAGATTCTTTACCGTCTGAGCTGCCAGGGGAACCCAGAGTAAGGTCCTGTCTTCAGATCTGTGAAGGCTGAAAGAGGTGAGCAAGCTGCAGAAGAAAAGTTTGAAACTACCAGAGGTTGGTTTACGAGGTTTCAGGAAAGAACTTTCTCCAAAGAAGTGCAAGGAGAAGTAGCAAGTGCTGCTGTAGAAGCTGCAAGTTATCCAGAAGAGCCAACCAAGATAATTACTGAAAGTGATTACATTAAACAACTGATTTTCATTGTAGATAAAACAGCCTTATCTTGGAAGAAAATCCCATCGAGAACATTCATAGCTAGAGAGAAGTCATTGGCTGGCCTCAAAGCTTCAAAGGACAAGCTGCCTCTCTTGTTAGGGGCTATTGCAGCTGGTGAGATTAAGCCAAAGCCAGTGCTCATTTACATTTACAAAAATCCTAGGGCCCGTAAGAATGATGCTAAATCTACTCTGCCTGTACTTTGTAAATGGAACAATAAAGCTTGGATGATAGCACATCTATTTACAACATGGTTTACTGAACACTTCTAAGCATATTGTTGAAACCTACTGCTCAGAAAAAAAGATTCCTTTCAAAATATTACTGCTTATTGACGATGTACCTAGTCACTCAAGACTTCTGATAGATATGTATGAGATTGATGTTGCTTTCATTCCCACTGAAACAACATCCCACTTATGAACCAAAGAGTAATTTTGACTTTCAAGTCTTATCTTATTAAAAATTACCTTTCAGGGACTTCTCTGGTGGTACAGAGGATAAGAATCCACCTGCCAATGCAGGGGACACAGTTCAATCCCTGGTCCAGGAAGATTCCACAAGCCATGGAGCAACTAAGCCCATATGCCACAATTACTGAGTCCGTGTGCTCCGACTACTGAAGCCCGTGTACCTGGAGCCGGTGCTCCACAACAAGAGAAGTGACTGCAGTGGGAAGCCTGTACACCTCAATGAAAGAGAAGCCCCTGCGCACTGCAACTAAGCAACAAGGACCCAGCACAACCAAAATAAAATTTAAAGGGGAAAAAGAAATGTCTTTCATAAGGCTATAGCTGCCACAGATAGTGATTCCTCTGATGGATCTGAAAATTGAAAACCTGCCAGGAAAGATTTACCATCCTAGATGCCATGTGATCCATGGGAAGAAGTCCGAAAACATCAACATTAACAGGAGTTTGGAAGAATTTGATTCCAACCCTCATGGATGACTTTGAGTGGT